CCTTTTAGTCAAAATAACATTAAAGTTCAGTTACTAAATTTCAGAGAGAAGTAGCCAAGGCTGCTAAATTATCCAGTATGAGCCCAACAAATATCTTGCTTATAAAAGTTTGCAGCTTGATGCCCCCTGAGGTGTTTGTATATTTTACATGTCTTGTTAACTTCACTGAAAACTTGCTTTGAGGAAAACAGACAATCACAGACCATGCGAATAAAATCATCTTTAAGAGGTGCAATAACAAAGCTCCATCACTATGCTCCATGCAACATTTTGATCAAGTACTCCTGTCAAGAGCTAAGCAATAGTCTCCTGATTCAACATACATAAAATTCAAATGTACGAAGACAAACATATATTCAAGACCAGAAATACCCCAAGTACCATCTTGGTTTACAGGTTAGAGCAGATTCTAAGTCATTGTCAAGGAAAAAAGTTTCAGCACTTTAGAAGCTGAAAACTGTCAACAGTGGACAGATCTGTAACCCATGTTATGACCCTTTGACAAAGATCTATAGGACACCATCCTGAAGTATCCAAGTGTTCATCATTAAATCATGACACTTTTATTAACCACAAATGATTGAGATGAGACAAAATATGAAACAAAAAGCATTGCAATGCTAAGCTAATCCCTATTGTTTCAAATACAATAAAAATTACAATTTTTCTTTTACAGTTACCCAGAAAACCATTGTTCAGAGATCTTGCCTGTATTCAGCTTGAGCAGTGAATAAATAAAGCTGATAGCATCAAACCATTCTTTTTTTTTTTCAGTGCACATCAGAAATGCTTTTTTATTTTTATTTGAAAACAACTTAAATTTTTAGACAACTGATTTTAGTATATAAATTTGATTTTGTTTTTATACAGAATATAAAGATTTCTCTCATTGATCTTCCACGTGAAAGGTATTACAAGCCTGAAGAGAGAGACTTTCTGCACACAAGTGTGTATCTTACACTTAGGGGACTGGAAACCAATGGTGTAGTGCTTCTACACATAAATTAGGTCAAGGGACGTCACATATTAAAAAGGAGTAAGAGAAATATTCTAGTTAATCAGATTCAAGAAGTAAACAGGACACAACTGTGCAGATAAGACCAAGTCAGTAACTTTAGTTAGGACACTGCGGGTTATACTGGCGTAACAGGTCTGTGAGGCGATAGTGGGTACCACAATAAAACAGCGAGGAAGAGTTATTTATATAGAAAGGCTGGAATGAGGGATTTTCACTAAAGCAAATTAACTTCTTGTCAACTGCCAAAACAAAACCGAGCATATGAATGTTAGTATACTGAAGGCATGTTATACCAGTTTCTGTGCAGCATGCTAAAAGTTAGTTAGAACTTCTTCACTGGTGCATATGAATAATAGTCACGGAAAGGTTTTTGTTTTTTGTTTTTTGTTTTGCCCCTTCTCACCAAATTTCAGGCATGTCTTATTTTAGATGGAGTATAGCTTTTATCTATAATTTCATCCTGTAAAAACATGTGAAGACAACGTTCATTCTGTGCCAGAGGATGACCAGCGAACTTGTTTATAAACTGCTCCAGCCCTTGCTTCCTTTCTTCAATAAAATTGTCATCAAATATTCCATCATCTCCTCTAAAAGGAAACTGACGCAAAAACGCTTTTCCAGGGAGCGGCGGGGGGGGGGGGGGCTACAGCCTTGCTCTCTCTTTTTAATTCACTTCGCAGCCATTCAAGGTCACTGTATCTTCTTCTAACAGTAGATTCCTTCAGCTTGAAAATAGGCAGATTTGTCTTGACCCCGATTTCTTAGGTGGTGAAGCGGCCCCGGCCAACCCCCACCGTCTGCGGGTTGCTCACATCGATCTCGAGGAAGTTGCTGGGCGGCCCGTAGGCATCATTCAGGTTCTGCGGCTTGGTGATCAGCCGCCGGGTGTCCGCCACAGTCTCCGCCATTTCTTCACTGCAGCCGCCCGCATCAAACCATTCTTATGTTTGGATTGTTATTCCACCACTTAATGTGAATATTATATATCTTTATAGATGTGTATATCCATATGCCACTGAGTGGACACCTTTCAATGTATCCTGCTTAGTAAAACTCTCAAAATATCTTGTCACACCTTCTTTGCTCCACTTTTGGAAGTGAAAGCTTAACATCCTTTCTTTGCAATGTGGAAAATTATTCTGGATGTGAGGGGGATGGGGAGGATCAAGGATAAAAGAATGATGTAGGTTTTCTATCATATAAGTCTTCCATTAATTCACTAATTATCTGCTCAGTTTTTCTGCAGCTCTCCTGAAACTATGCCTTCCTTCATCTTTAAACAAATTTTTTGAATAGCTTAGAAACTACGATGTGGCTTTTCTTACAGTGGATCCTTCAGGTTCCAAGTACTGATACCAGTGGAAGCCTGTTTCTGCTCATTTCAGCTGTTCCTTGGCATTTGTCCAGAAGCCTAAAAAGAAACAGGCTTCCTTTCAGTTCCATCTATCACAGCCACAGAATTATATAATAACATGTCAAAATAATGACTCGGAGGCACTGTGAAATCCTGCAATGCCTTCCAAAGCTTCCAAGAAAGATGTAAGTTTTTTTTTTCTTAACAAGTATATTTTGTAGACTCATAATACTTTAAAAATTGAAAATCAATATATGGCATTATGGTTGAGCATAATATTAAAAGATAGTATCAGGACATTCTTCAACTATTCAAAAGAAAGTGGCATTTTCCATACTTGCTCATTCTATCTGGGATCATTTCAGCTTTGGAAAATGGTAAGAGCCTGCTTGTAATCAGAACAAAAGGATGACTGAATGACAACTTAAGTATCTATACAAAAACAGCATTAACTGGCATGGAATTTCTCCTGTCAAAAGCTGAATCTCCTTTGCTATTAAAGCTTTCAGATGCTTTCTGACACGTGATATAAAAATTTTTGCATTCTCTATTTTTAAAAATAAAAAAATGTGTTAATTTTTTCACAGCCAAAGCCACACACAGAGAATTTCCTGACCGAACATTAAAATGATAACATGTCTTTTCTGAATATACATGCTTATTGTATAGAGATTTTAGAAGACCAGAAAATATGAAGGAGAAAATAAAAATCTATACGTTCACCTTCCAAAGGTAACTGCTCTTAATATTCTGGTACATTTTGTTCAAAGTTTTTCAAGTTTTTGTTTTGAAAGAGTTTTAGACTTACGGAAAAGTTGCAAAAATAGCATGGAGGGCTACCTTATATGTTTCACACAGCTTCCTTTAATGTTCATACCTTGTTATGGATATGGTTAATAACCACAGTACAATTACCAAAACTAAGAAATCGACATTGGTACAATACTATTAGCTAAACTACAAACTGTATTCAAATTTTTCCAGGTTTTCTATTAATGTCCTCCCGTTCCAGGATCTTCCAGGAGACCTTCCAAAATGGCAGCCTTTGGGACAATAGTAAGACTGGGGCATCTTTAAGGACCCTGGATTCTCGTGTCCCATTGTATGGACAATCTTTCATCCCATATGTGAAGAAGTACAGACATCTGTGGCAACCGTGACTGCAAGGAGCCCAGGACTTTTTTGATGTCTGTGAACTCTCCTTCAAATCTCTCTACAACCAAATGGTTTGTTGATCCTCGAGAGTTAAATGAAAAGAATCTCAAATTTTCCCGCTCTTCTTTGGATTCCTGATACTCTTTAATTTTGGAGCCAACTTTCCAGTTTTGAAGTTGAAAAGACTGAAGAATGTAGCCAGTTTACAGCTTCAAAAAAATAAATGAAATGGAGAAGATAAGGCTGTCTCGAGGCAGTACAATAATAGAGCGCCTTCCCACTGAAATGTACAATTGCCTTTTCAAAAAATTGTTAAGGGCAGATGGGAGAAGAAAAAAAAAGATAAGGATGATGCCGTCTGCCCCCTTTTTTTTCCTAAGGCGAGTGTTGAAGATTTCTCCAGTAAAATAGGAATATTCAATTTTACCTCCATGCAGGGATTCTTATTTCAGTCCAGTAGGAAATGGTTTTCAACCCCTGTGAAAATGCTCTCCTCAGCCAGAGATCAAAGATTGGAGCTAGAGATGCGAGCAGGGGTGGGGCAGAAAGAGCACACTAGCTGAATCAATCAGCCAGGATTTGAATCAGCCTTCCTTCAATTACCAGCTAAGTGACTTTAAGGAAGTCACTTAATCTCTCTGGCTCTCTATTTTCCTACCTGTAAAGTAACACAGACCTCACGGGTTGTTATGAAGATCAAATAAAACATTTGTGCCTGGTTCTAGGTTTTCTAGAAATGTTAATTGAACCAGAAAATAACTGGCTAGATGTGGTTCAACATACTTTGCCTTTAAGGCAACGCCCGCGATCACACTTTAGGCATATTGGTTTTGTTGCCCGGCTACTTGGCGCTAAGGTGGACATTGTAACTCAGGAGAAACAAAATTTGTCTCCGATGCTCGGCAGCTCATACTCTAGAGCGGACACTTTACAGCCAATCGTACACGAATAGGAAGATAGACCACTGTCGACAGCAGAATTATGGCCAAAGAGCGGCTGTAGAGAGTATCATTCTCTGGGTGGGCAAGAACACAACCATAGCCTGGGGCCTCAGGTAAAGCTCTATTTAAAACAAAAACAAAAACAAAAAACAAAGCCTGAGCCCTGGGTGTTGTATACAACTGATGAATCCCTGAATTCTACCTCTGAAACTAATAATCCACTATATCTTAATTAATTGAAGTTAAATTTAAAACATGTGACAAAAAAATTTTTAAAAATATATAAAAAAAGCCTCTTTCGGGAACTTTCTCAAGATTACTTTTTTTAAATCACAATTGGACCTTAAAAAAAAAAAGGCAGCTGCTGAAAAGAGTTGCAAAATATAAAAAAGAATTTTGTTTAATATAGCATTTTCCTGCCCCTTTAAAAGTTAGCTGACTTCATGGAAACTTACTGTTTTAAAACTTTCTTAGTTAAATCTCATTAGTGACAAAACCATATCATGAATAAAATTTCCTATTTGTTACCTTAACTAAAATAGGGTAACTATATAAGTTATTATCCAGACCGAAATGCTTTGGGGAGGAAAAGTGGGCTTCATTAATAATTATGCTGGGACCATAAAACACATTTAGAGACGGTTTTGGGAACACGTGGACAGAGGGCTACTCTAACTTTCCAGGAAAGTCAACTCGCCTGATCAGTCATGTCTAAAAGGACTGCAGAAGTATGCTGAGAGCAAGAGAAAGTGGGGCTGCTTAGAAACACACCGTGATTCTTTTTCTCCTTGAATTGGAAGATTTGCATGGAATTTTCATTTTAGCATTGACTGTTATTCGAAGAAAAACTCTACAGACCTAAACTGTCCCCAGATTTCACCAAAGCAGGAGTAGATTTCTCATATTGATGGCCTACACTTTGATTTACTGTTTGCCAATGCACTAGAGACAGCATGCCATTTTTTTTATTCTTTTTTTTAAATATTTTTATTGTTATGTTAATCACCATATATTACATAATTTGTTTTGGTGTAGTGTTCCATGATTCATTGTTTGTTCATAACACCCAGTGCTCCATGCAGAATGTGCCCTCCTCAATACCCATCACCAGGCTAACCCATCCCCCCACCCTCCTCCCCTCCAGAAACCTCAGTTTGTTTTTCAGAGTCCATCATCTCTCCTGATTCGTCTCCCCCTCTGACTTACTCCCCTTCATTCTTCCTCTCCTGCTATCTTCTTATTTTTCTTTTTTCTTAAAATATGTTGCATTATTTGTTTCAGAAGTACAGATCTGTGATTCAACAGTCTTGCACAATTCACAGCGCTCACCGTAGCACATACACTCCCCAATGTCCATCACCCAGCCACCCCATCCCTCCCACCCCCGACCACTCCAGCAACCCTCAGTTTGTTTCCTGAGATTAAGAATTCCTCATATCAGTGAAGTCATATGATACATGTCTTTCTCTGATTGACTTATTTCACTCAGCGTAACACCCTCCAGTTCCATCCACGTCGTTGCAAATGGCAAGATCTCATTCCTTTTGATGGCTGCATAATATTCCATTGTGTATATATACCACATCTTCTTTATCCATTCATCTGTCGATGGACATCTTGGCTCTTTCCACAGTTTGGCTATTGTGGACATTACTGCTATAAACATTGGGGTGCACGTACCCCTTAGGGTCCCTACATTTGTATCTTTGGGGTAAATACCCAGTAGTGCAATTGACAGCATGCCATTTTGCGATGATTAGTTTTGAACCTTATCATACGGCACCCTCCTCCCGGGGAAGGGACACGTTATTTTCAACAGATCTGAGAATACATGGTTAAAAGACAAATGTAGGCTTTCAGATCATGTGTGAAGGGAAACAGGAGTGCCTATGTATATATTATATTCCGTAGATATTTCTGTTTAAATATTACAGTGTATACAGTAGATATTTGAGTCTGTTAGATTTATCAATTAGGTGCATATAATTTATCAATTATATGTAACTCACAGTTATTTAAAATGTTCTGCTAATGGCCTCTCCCCTTTTCCAGGATTCAGACAAGGCCTATTTATTCCATCTCTGCCCTGTCTTTTTCAAGCTTCCTATATTCACTTTGAAAATTCACCACTTAGCTGTACCTTCTAATTAGTTATATTACTGGAGACACTAAAAGATTTAAAGGAAAAAAAAAAAAGGAAGGATTGCATTTTAAAACCCCTGATTAATAAGTTTTTTGTCAAAAGCCAGATACTATATAATATTTAACATGTTTATCCCCAGTTGCACTTGTAAATTCCCTTTTCCCTTCATTTTTATATGATTCATTCATTTTATAATCCAAGTAATATTTTAAAACTATTTTCTATGTGCTGAGCAGGATTATCGGGGGGAGATGACAAAGGAAATAAGACATGGGCCCTGTGTTAAGGGGTTCACTACCTCATTTCTGTTCTTTAGAATAAGGTAACAGGGTAAGGATTTCATAACTGTTTTATATGTGCTCAGGGATCAGAAAAAAATGTGCAAAATATGCAAATTCTAAGCTTCTTTTGAAGTCTAGCTATTTAAAAGGTCAAAAAAAGTGTTTTCCCCTCTAGAGCTAATAGAGATGGAGGGATATCTGCCAAGCAAAGAGGTTCAATTTGGCCATGTATTCATTAGCTTCTCCATATACTGCCACTCTACTTAGACAAGAGGAGCTACTTACCAAATGTTCTGGGGGCGGTCAGGCTGAATGAGTGCATTTCCCAAAGGAGAAGTCCCATTTTTCACTGATATTTAATTATTTCTTTTATTTTTTTTTCTCTGTTAAAGGTCTTGATAAGTGGTCTTTGCAAAACCCACCTATTACCTCCTTCATGAATGTTAGATTATACAAAATTTCATTTCAGAGTAAAATATCCTTAATGCAAATGCTCTTGTATAACGCCAATTTTGTATAAGAGATTGATTGTGAATTTAGATATTTTATTAACAAAGAACCACTGACTGAGAATGATTAGTAATTTATACTCTCCCTGTGAAGACAAAAAGACTTGCCAAAATTCATCAAATTAATAAATATTTGGGTAATTATGACTTACCCAAGGTTGATTTAAAAATTCTATATATTAAATTTCCTGCAGTTCAATGTCGAAATTCAAAGCTAAACTCCGAGAAGCTAACTAGAACATTAAAAACAAACTGACTTTTCCAAAATTATAGAGGCAAGTTCAGAAAGAAACAATACGAAAAATAAGCACATAAATAATTTAAATAACCCAAAACTGAAATATAGAAAGATAGGTTGTATGAGATTTCAGTAACCGATATAAACTGACAGAAATAGGAAAATATCTCCAAGAAGATAGCATACCCTTAGGAGATTGTCTCGAGTGTTATGACTTGGGTTTTTTCTGCTTCCCAGACAAAAGCAGGTCATAAATGCATCTTTATCCACGGGGCAAAGTGGCCCAGCCTCTCTGTCGCCTTCCTGGTCACTTATATCCAACAACATTACACCAGACAAATTTATGAGCTGACTTGTTATATTGACAGTTGGAGAGTGACTACTAACTTACAGTAATTTACAAGGGAGGGGGCATTCTTCAGTGGAGCTAGGACTTTCTCCAGGGAAGACAGAGCCCTCTTAAAGCTGTTCGATGTTGGAGTCCCTTGTTACCAAATAATCACACACTTCTCCTTTCTGAGTTCTGAACAAATTGAGAAGTGGGCTTGAGAGTCAGATAGTGATCAAACCATCTACTGAAATTTCACTAAAGCTGGATTAGAGCATTCCCTTGGACCCAAGAACAAAAATATGCCTCTAATTCTTTCTCCTCTGCAGCCCCAGCTATTCACCCAGTCAGGGGCAAAGAAACTGGGCAGCAAGGTAGGCGTTCTCCTCATCAGGAAAGAGGGACATGTGAGGCTCCTAAAGTGAGCCAAAGAGAAGAACAGAGGGACAGAGTGACAGAAAGATAAGTGACACATGAGCTGGGCATTTTGCACCTTAATTTTGCCTAACACGAACCACTGGTTAGATAAATTACCTTCTTTTTTTTTTTTTTTTTTTTTTTTTAGCTTTAAACACTCAGAATTGTTCCTCTCCACGGAAATCTTTAGTAAAAGGCGAAAGATTTATACGATCTGAAGAGAAACCAGAGTATTAGATAAATTACCTTCTTAAAGACAAGGAGCTCTTCCTACCTCATCCTTCACAGAGGGCTAAAGTCACTGGTCAATGGGTGCGGAAGAATGTGAGAAGGAAAGATGGTGAACTTTATAGGGTTGAGGGAAAAAGTGCAGATCCTCTAAACCAAATGCAATAAGAGACAAAAACTTTTTCAATAGGTTGTACTTTCTCTCTCTGTGTGTGTGTGTGTATATATATAGAGAGAGAGATAGATAGATAGATATAATACCCTGACTAAACACACAAACACACACACATAAACACGCACGCACATGCACACACACATACACACACTGAATTCTGACACAAAATCATATTTGGTTTCTCATTATTACTTAAATGTTTCACATGTGTGTCTTCTTTCCTTGAGTATAGATTATAAATACATAATTATATATATATATAAATACTCCAAAAGGAAGACAGTATTGTGCAGCAAAAGCATCTGGGCTTTAGGTTCCCAGAGAACTGGGTGCAAATTCCAGTTCTGCAATTTGCCAGGTGTGTGAATTTGGATGAGTTATTTAACTCTGCAGAGGCAAAAATCTCATCTATTAAATGGGCTAGCTCCGAGGATTGTTAAGGGCATACAAACAATAATGCATATAAAACATCTACTGAATGTGCGTTAGTCATACTGACACTCGTACTTTTCCCCCACAGAAGGCATCTGTTATCTCTTTTGAATTCTGTGCGTTGTCAAAAGTGTCAAAGGATTTAATGAATAGTAAGCTCCCTTCCCCGCCTGGGAGCCACTGCTGGGCAGATACTACTTTTTTGTATGTATGGCTTTGGAATATTTGTATATTTTTAGTGTTTGGATATTCTAGTCTGGTCAATTAGAAATAATCTGCTTTTCAAATTAGATATATTTTGTAAAACTATGCCAGCACATTAGCAGTTAATTATTTCTAAGAACAATTGAAGGCTTATTACAAGGGTACAAAGTTTCAGTTATACAAGATGAATACATTCAAGAGATCTAATGCACAGCCTGGTGATTATAGTTAACAACATTATACTGTATACTTGATATTTGCTATGAGGGTAGATCCTATGTAGATCCTACGTGTTCTCCTGGTAGCTATGGATACATTAGCTTCTTTATGGTGGTCATTTCACAATGTGTATGCTTATCAAAACATAAAACTGTACACATACAATATATGAAATTTTTGTCAGTTATAGCTCAATAAAGCTAAAAAATTATATTTGTTTAATTATGTTTACCAATATCTATAGATTTGATGAACCACCAAGAGAGGGATTATGCTAAACTTGAAGTGGAGGTGGTAGTAGTATTGAGGAAATATATTACAACTAAACTGAAATGGATACACATTGAATGTGTCCATTACTACGTTAAGAAAATAGAAAGATCAGGGGCGCCTGGGTGGCTCCGTCGTTAGGCATCTGCCTTCGGCTCAGGTCATGATCCCGGAGTCCTGGGATCGAGCCCCGCATTGGGCTCCCTGCTCCACGGGAAGCCTGCTTCTCCCTCTCCCACTTCCCCTGCTTGTGCTCACTCTCTCGCTGCCTCTCTCTCTGTTAAATAAATAAATAAATAAATAAATAAATAAATAAATAAATAAATAAAAAAGAAAATGGAAAGATCAAAAAAATGCCATTTTACTGTCTCATGTAAAGTAGACAACTCTCTAGTAATATGTTCTGGTCAGTCTGTGTCAAATGAGTTTCTCCTGGGAGTAAATTTGGTTGTCCTTCATGGGCAAAGAAATTCTCAGTGGAAATGCTCCTTACTAGCTTGGTTTTTCAGTACTCATGGAATACTGTGATAATTTTGCAGAGGTGTCACAAGTAGAACTAAATATGTGATAAATTCTGTGGAATGAAATATGTTAAACTAAAAAATACTCTTAATCATCTATGAATAATAGCATTTTTGGTCCTCTCATGTGAGAGAATTCATTAGAAATTGTTAAAGATTTGTAAAGACACAGAAATTTTGAGTTATGAATAGATTTTTAAAAAAGATTTATTTATTCATGTGACGGGGGGGGTGTACCAGAGAGGGGAGAGGCCACGGGAGAGGGAGGAAAGAATCCTCAAGCCGACTCCATGCCCAGCGCAGAGTCCGATGCAGGGCTGTATCCCAGGACCCTGAGATCAGGACCTGAGTGGAAACAAGAGTCAAGCGCTCAATCGACTGAGCCACCCAGGCACCCTGAGTTATTAATAGACTTTCTACAGCAAAATTCAATTCAGCTTTTAAAAATAGATGTAAAATATAGTTTCAGTTTCTCCTAAATATATGATTTTCAAACAAACAAAGCTTCTCTTGCCATCACTACTTCTATTACTACCGTTACTAATACTTTAGCACATACATGTTTTAAATGTAAACGAAGCCACACGAAGTTGAAAGTCAGTAGTAGATGGAATGGAAAGAGTGACATTAAGGGTAAACTTGCACACCTGTGATTGCCCCGAACTAGCTCTCCTTTTCACTTCCGCATCAGGTGCAAGGTGCAGCATACTTCTGGAGGACCTACTCTGCCTTCCGTTTCACACTCCGAGAGCATAAATGAAATTAGGTACCTGTCTACATTTACTACATCTGTCATTTTTTAGGTAAGGTTTTCTTTATGTTTAAGCAAACTTACAGTTTTTTTTTTCTAGGGTGAGTCCTGACTTGATTTATGAAATATATTATTTGTTTTGTTTTGAAATAGAGAAATTGTATGTGTGGAACTACCTAAGGGATGTTAAGATATATTTGTTCTTAATTACCTTAGAAAAACTTTGAGGGAATTAATATCAGCAAACAAGATACAGAGCCAGTTTCCAGAGTGACTGCCTTTGGTGGCTCAGATTCATGTTCCTTCCCCTTCATTTAGTGGGTTGCAACCTGGCGGCCCTGTCGGTCTTGAAGCCGTCGATGACCAGGACTAAAGGCAACAAGTAACCTCAAAAAACCAATTGGATTGTGCTAAAATTAGGGCAGTCTCTCCTTCTCCCTCCCTCCCTCCCTTCCTTCCTCTTCTTCCCTTCCTCCTCACCTTCCCCCTACACACACACACACACACACACACACACACACACACACACACACACACACACTTTTTCTCTAGCTGGAACATGACCCATGGAACAGTTTCCACCACTTAAATGGAAAAGCAGCAGGGAACACTGGCATGCGAGAGAGAGGAGAACAAACAACAAAACAGCAGAATAGGGGGGAAATGTGGGAAAGACAGTCTGGAGTCCATTTTAGTTCCGGTTTTCATCCTTAAGTGTCTTTGGCATTCTTTTATTTTTTTCATTTTTTTATTATGTTAATCACCATGCATTACATCATTAGTTTTTGATGTAGTGTTCCATGATTCATTGTTTGTGCATAACACCCAGTGCTCCACGCAGAATGTGCCCTCTTTAATACCCATCACTAGGCTAACCAATCCCCCCACCCCCTCCCCTCTAGAACCCTCAGTTTGTTTTTCAGAGTCCATCGTCTCTCATGGTTCGTCTCCCCCTCCGACTTACTCCCCTTCATTCTTCCCCTCCTGCTATCTTCTTCTTCTTCTTTTTTTCTTAACATATATTGCATTATTTGTTTCAGAAGTACAGATCTGTGATTCAACAGTCTTGCACAATTCACAGCGCTCACCATAGCAC